TCAAAACTGTAGTTAGGCATGGTACTCAATCTGGATTTCGCAGACCGCGTCCATAATTTAAATATCAGGCTTGTCATTTCTAATAGTTATCACTGCTGAGCTCTGTGAATGTTAGCTGTCATAAATATATTGGGCCTGTCTACACACTCAATCTGCCAGTGACCCCATAAAATTGGTCTGAACACAAGTGTCGGTCTTTTGGCAAGTTAACAATTTGAAGGAGTCTCAGCAAAGTAAAACTTTCAGTTTCCCTAAGTTGCTAGCGGCAGTGACTAACATGAAGGCAAAGGGGCAACTCCATTAAGTAAATGCTACCTAATTTTAATATAGGTTCTTAATTGACAAGATTTTGAGGCAATCTACCTTGGCTTTCCACTCTCAGAATGAATAAGACTGCCAAATTTATAAGACAAATAATTGTTTTCTTGATGTGTTTTCAAAGAATACCACCTCTTGAGAGAGAGAATCCACAGTGAAAGATAGACTCCATGAAGAGACAGCCTTGTACAATATTTATCTTATTTTCCTCAATATGCCGCATTATGCTTTCTTAAGAAGCTGCATTTAGTTAATCAACATAAAATCTCTGCGAGAGAAAAGGTGGGTAAATAGAATTCAATCTCCCATTTCACAGATGGAATGTTAAGCAGGAAATAGGATGAGAGCATCACTTCAGATCCTAACTTGCTGCACAAAGGTAGCTAATACAAGGTAGACTTTGAATAATTTGGTAGCATAACTGCTCTGAATCACCCAAGTGTCATTTTGAAATATTTTGATGTCGATAATAAGATGACAATATTGTAATCTGATCATAATTATTGCATTTGTCTTAAGAAAAAAGTAAGTGTATGGGTATTTTTTTGTGCAGTATGCTAAAACAGAAGTGGATTTAGTAGAAATATATTTCATTCAAGATATTCACGGCTGCTTATCTGAGCCATTTTTTTTCTGATGTTAGGATAGGTCTATCAGTATATCGAGAAATAAAATTTGCAAGAAGTTACAGACTTAACAAGTCTACACGTGTCATTTAAAGAGACAAAATAAACAGTTAACCACACAGTAATAAATAATTTAAATTGTATGTTAAAAGAAAGCTGTCTATGGACAGAATGCAAGTAGGTAAGATGGATCAAGGTTGACAGGGCAATCAGGCCACAGGTTATATCTGGTTGGTTGGTGAGGTGGATTACATCAACGAATATCCCGCGTGAAGGAAGAATAGCCAGAGTGTCCTGTTGTGTTTACAGGCCAGGAAGGAGATAAGTGCAGGTGAAGAGGTGTGTTCAGGCAGAGAGCTATGTGAGATGAGGGCAAAGAATGTATGGAAGGCAGATCACCCAGGGCTGCACACACATCCAATGCAGGATGAACACGGTGTGATTTCAGGGCTCGGAGAAGGTAAATGGCATGATCTGACTTAAATTTTAAAAAAGGTCCTACCGTAAATTATTAAATCTTTGAAAAATGAATAGTCCAATATATTGCATAACCTGTGCCATGTACCTTAATCTCAATACACCAACCTTCTCTCAGAATTAAATATCATTATTATCATTATTCCTACTTTCCCAAAGAAAATATTAGATCTCAGAGTCTCTGAAAAACTTCTCTGGGTAAGATTAAGGAGCAAAGTCGGGTGAATAATCTTTCTAACTTATTGTTTAGAGTCTGACTTCTCTTTCCTAAGTATTTATGTATATTTAAGTTATAAATGAATTAAAACAAAACTTACGGCTATTTATCTAATTAACCACCAATGAAGATGCGAATTCCTGTATGTTATTATTGAATTGAATATTAATTATTTCCCTTATTAACCTCTGGAATATGACAGAGTATTCACCTGAACTTTCTATTTCAAATGACATGTGTGCATTCAGGTGAAGACTCTTAGAGAAGTGAAGAGTGTACACCCTATCAAAGAACGCCTGAGTTTATTTACTAGCACTCCAAAAACTTCCTGTGATGTCAACTTCAGAATAACATGACATCCTTGACCTCCAAGGACACCTGCATTCATGTGCACATGCACCCACACAGACTTAGACATAATCATAAAGAAAAGGAAGAAATACTGTATTTCAGGAATGATGAGAATGATTTAAATTTTTAAGAGTCCATTTAGAAATTTTTCACAGGCTTTCATTTATTTTCAATCATATTTTTTCTAATTGTCTACATGCACACAATTTTGCTACATGCATTGCATATGTCGTCATATTCAACATTTATCAAAAGAATTGAAATATAAACTGTATTCCAGGAATAATTAGTGTGCATCTACAGAGGCAGACTATTTCAAGTTTGAACAAGTGCTGAGGACCAGAGCTGTTGTGTTAAATCTTCTGAGTAAAAGACTCATCTCTCTCGTTGAGTCACACTTCTTACATCAGCATTCATAGCTCAGATGGCAGCCAGGTACAGGCATTCCCATTTTCCAGATGGCAGAAAGTTAATTTAAAAAAATCAACATTTATTTTATGGCCACAATAAGCAAATCAATATCCAGCTGCAGAAATCACAGAGTATTTATGATGCAACGTCCCTACAATACTATTAAGGTAACAAGAGGAGCTTAAAATGAAATAAATAATACAAGATAATATGCAGTAAGTTCTATGTGAGATACAAAAATAGCAACTGTTAAAAGAAATTCAACAGGCAGAGAATTAAATCTTGGTATTTCAACTCAGTTAAGAAAGTCTCTACTGAAGACCACTGGTATCATGATGGTTTCCATAGAAATGTGAGGTTTTCAATCAGCAGAAAAGTGGAAGAGAAGTCATTCTACTAACAGGAGATAATAGAGCCACAGGCCAAAGGAGCAGATGGAAGGGATTGCCAAAAGAAACTAGTAAAGTTTGAAGTGCAAGATAGATGGGAATTGACCTACTATGGAAAATGAACCCAGAGAAGCATGGATCCTCGGACAGGAGGAAAGAAAGTGGATTCAATGAAGTCAAATTATTATTAGCATGGGGCACACATTTGTGAATTCTGTGTTGTTATGCAACATTCCTAATCAGCTCATAAAGTAGAAAGGTAGACACAGTTCCTCCACTTTTAAGCAAAGGAAACAAGACTTCTCTGCTCTCAGTTCCTCCACTTTTAAGCAAAGGAAACAAGACTTCTCTGCTCTGGCAGCGTTGTGGGAGAGGGAGGCTGTAGAGCACTACTCTAGAAAGTCTGACCCATAGCCTATACTCTTCCAGTACCCTCAACACCATCCATCAGACTGGGAACCAGCCAAGGCATCTGATCAAAAGAAGAGAGGTGGCACACAGAGATTAGCAGTGTCAGAGTAATCAGATCACCAGATACCAGTAGACGGTCCTTACTGAGGAACTGGGAAAAAAAGGACAGCCTAAGAAAGGACACAATATATTACATTAAACCAAATAACAAGACAATGGGCATCCATATGTGAACGTGCACAAAAGGAATTTTTAATATGAGATACTATTTAAAAAAAAAAAAAGAATTGGAGACCATGGTAAGATTCAAAGCTGAAAAGAGGTGGTCTTTCGTACCCCACCATGCAACCTAAATCAAAACTTTTTAAAATTAAAAAAAAAATGAAGTTCAAGATCTAGTTTCAATATTTCCCAATTTATTTTGCAACAAGGGATTTATTTAAAAACAAAAATTGCTGTGTCTAAGATAAAAGAGCTGCCATAGTGCAATTGCAAACCCTGGGCCACCATTAGGAACTGGGCAGCTGCGCACTAGACTTGCTTCTCTGGTGTGGGAGCAACCTGAGAGTTGCTTGCCGTTTTTCTAACTTGGGTAACAAGCCCTTATGCTAGAAATATCCAATAATTAAATGGCATACTGTTCAACAAGTTGGGTCTGCTTGTCTGCTTTCTTACCACTCAACCGTCTATCTTTATCAAGCTAATTAATTATGAACTAAATTCAAAATTCACACATTAAGTCAATACCAGATTTCCACAAAGTCACATGTAGCTCAGGCTGGACTGGAACTCACTGTGTAGTTAAGGAAAACCTTGAACCCTTGATCTGCTTGCCTCAGTTTCACCAATGCAGAGATCACAGATGCATGCCATCAGGCCCAATTTAGTACAAACCCAAGTCAGCAGAACTGCAAAGTTATTAATGCTGGGATAACCATACAACTGATCATTACCTGACATAGAATATTCAGCTCATTTTTCTTATTATTGAATCAGCTAACCATTTCATTAGGTATGTGTACATGGAGGTATTTATCACATGTGGTTTCACAACTAAAGCCTTTTGTAACATATCAATATCTGTACAAATGGATAAATATTTAGCAATCTTAAAACTCATGAGTGCCATTTTGGCTTGGGATAGTTTTAGCAATCCTGCATCTATGTTACTTTCATCTAACTCTAGCATTCCTTAGCATTGCTGAATGGTAATTAAAACTTAGCTCACTAGCTAACCTTATTTCCTTTACTTTCTTGGAGTAAAAAAAAAAAAGTTTTTATTTGAAAATTGTTGTTGGAGTTTGAAATTCAACCGTGTGACAACTTCTTGGAGCAGAATTATAGCCACCCCATATTTGACACTTCTGTATAAAATGGTTATTGAGGATCTATATTAACCTGAAAATAAGCATCTGTGAAAAGTGGTAATTAAGTAGCCCTTGATACTACACAGATAAAACAGATAGATAATTGCAAAATTAGACATATTCTCTGATTGAAAAACAGGTCTCTTTCAATAAATTAATTAGAAAATTCTTCACACACACACACACACTCACACACACACACACAAAACCTTGTCTCCATATAAATGTGGGCATTCCACACAAGATAAATGAAATATATTAGGCATGTGAAAAAGAAAGCAATAAGGTTCATTTTGTGCATCCTACTTTCTGTTATCCAGGACATCAAATGCCTGATAATATGTCTTCATGCATGAAGATGAGACTTTTACCTTTAACTTCTAAAGTCATTGTTTTATGATGGTTTATAGAAACAAAGGAGAATTATTTTTACCTCCCAGTCCTGGTCTAAGCCGATTATCGTAACCGTCCAGAAGTCTGTCTAGTATTCTTGTAAAGATGGTAATGTTATTTTTAGCCTCATCTTCTTGGATGTTAGCCAGCACCAACCTAAACAGATAATTTTACAAATTGGTATGTGTTTTATATATGTATGCACAGTGTTTGGCTAAGTGCCAAAATGTTCTTCTTACTTGATCTAAATTTGAGGATTCTTTGGCCATTAGTGACACACACTCCATTCCTTTTTTTTCATTCTATAAATAGCACTCAACTCACGGGAGCAGTAAATATAATGTTTAAAAATGGACAGCAAATAACAGAATATCAGACGTGTAATGCTTTTGAGATTTCTGCCACTTAGCCCTCTGTATGGCTTATCTTAAAATCTGCATAAAGCATATCCTTTTTGTAGATTCTCATGTGCCGACATTATTGGCGAGATTGCTTTGCAGTTAGACGGGAGAGAGACTTCCGAAGTGTTTCTTCAGTGTTGTGAACACTAACTGGAAAATAAACTGTCATCTTGATGGTACAAATCTCTCTATCGTTCTCATAGATAGCATTGTTTTTCTATGTCTTTCACGTTTTTAGACCAAGATAATTTCCTGACTTGGGGTATACCTCCACCCAATGGCCAAGTGTAATATAGACGTCAGGGAAACTCCACTGGCAGGCTGCCAGACTCAATGTGGCCGGGAGCTGGAGGTAGGTTCTAAAGACAGCAGTCACACACAATTTCACAGAGTCTTAGGAAGCCTAGGTCTGTGGAGTAGTCTCGGAAGAGATATTGGGGGCTACATAAAGATGAATGTGTCCAGTTACCCTTTTTTGGTGATAAAATTTGTGGGAAGAGATGGTCTTAAAATATCCCCAGCCAGGCTTTTGAAGCAGTGATTTTCTCCATTAGTTTTCCGTCATAAAGCCAGAGACCTGATTTTGTGAAAGCAATTTGGTACCAAAGAAACTGATGTATAAAACAGAGTGTCCTTTTTCCATTACCATTTTTTCTCAGAATGATTCAGAGATTTAAATTACTGTCCCCCCAAAAAGAATCATTTATATAATAGAATAAAATACTGCCGTGAACATTATTGGTTAAATATAGAACAGAAAATGAATAGAGTGATACTCAGTTAAGCAATTGGTGGTGGTTCTCAATGGGCATTAATTGACCATAGATTGCCTATGTCTCTAAAGTCAATGCTCAGGTGTACTTACATGCTAGTCAACGTGCATCCTATAAAACATCATCGACAGGGACCATTTACACTGAAATGAACGTGAAGTAGTAGCTAACCATACTCGTAATAACATCAAAAGTGGCAAGGGACATCAAGCGAACATTTTGAAAACCAGAGTGAATATTAAAGTGTGAACAGGAAGACGAACAACCTCAAATTATATAAGTAAATCAGTTCCTACACGACCCTCAAAAGTTTCTGCTTGCCTACTTTAAGCTAATTTTAAAAACCCTCACTAGGATAGTCACAAGAGTCTGCGATTTTTCTCACAGAGGTGTTTTTCAGTCCTATTTCATAAATTTCATATTTCTCTCTCTAAAGTCCATTAGTGGGTATTTCCCAATTATAATTAAGTATTTCCAAATAGATTTCTTTTCATTTCCAAAATATCTTTTTCACACTTTGAAGATTATTTGGTCAAAATTCTTAAAAGGGATAATAAAATGCTATGATAGTTATTAAAAATTAATGGCTATTGAAGAATTCTTACGGAATTTATGTTTTAATTCCTCTAGTGTCTAAAAAATATTTTCTAAATACATTAAATTAAATATACCCACTGCTCAATTTTTAAAAATCAGAACAGATTACAATTAAGATGAAATTGCTTAAAACAATCAAATTAATTGGCAAAAGAAAAATCACAAATCCAAGCTGACTCTCTTTATCAGTAACCATCTGCTAAGAAAGATATCTCCAAATTAATAAGATGAAAAGTTGGTTGATAGATCTTTTGTTTTTTGTTTGAGATTGTGGAGTTGTATACTACCTCCACCTAGAGGTTTAAGACTCTCATATCATTTGCGGTCTCTATGTTGTTTTTAGAAGCCCCAGTGATTGAAAACAAAAATGCAAAGGAAGAAGCAGAAAGAAAAGGAAAAGCCTAAGTTTCCACTTAAATCATTTATCTGATACTTCTCTGTCTGCCCCGAGGAGAATTTGGCTTCCTCACCAGATTCTTCATGTGTCTTAGCAATAGGCATTCTTTGGACTAATATACTCCTGATAGAGTATTTCCAGTTAAGTGTTACATATAGAAAATGTGTCCGTTCCCTTTCGTTTGTTTTCGTTTTAAGAAAAAAAAAAAAAGATCAGCAAACTTTTTAGAGTTTCAGACACTTAACGGGATAATTTTCTATACAATACATTTCCATTAAAAGGAGTTCTTCAAATCACCTCGACTCTAAAAGATCACTGATACACTTAACGGCATTTTAAAAAATCACGCTATACCTGAACTGCAGAAACCAAACACAGCGTCTCACCTGGCTGGGTCCCACACCAGGAAAACAAGCAGCAGAGACCGTACATTGCAGGTGTTCAGTTTTGTCTTCATCTTCCTTGTTTGAGAAGCTACGGAAGAAAAAGAAGATAAAATTAAAATTGTTCTGAGTCCTACCAACCAAGTAACCCCAAAGAATGCCATTTCCGTTGTGGTAGTGGGGGTGTTACTCCCGTGTACTAGGTATACAGGTGTAGGACTAGATGACTGAAGGAGAATTTTTTTTTTTTTAATGACTAGATGACGCTAGTTCATCTCCCCCACCACCTCTTAACTTCCCCCAGCCCCGTCCTCTGCAAACACTTCGCTATTCACACATAAAATGACAAGACCCCGGGACTCTAAGCTGACACATGTGCTTACGGAGGAACAGATTGGAGGAGTGAGTGGAAACGAGGTGGAGAGCTGGATACTCCATGCCTCGCCCTCTCTGAGAAGACCACCTCCGCAAGCACAGCAGGAAAAGCTAGCAGCAAGCAGCCTACTTTTTCCTTACAGTGAATTGCAGTCCTCGCGTGTTCACTTTCCCCAACAACAACCACCACCCCACGCAAAAAAAAAAAAAAAGGAAAAAATAGAAAATCAAATCCAAATCATTCTCCCTGCCCATCCACATTTGCCCATGTCCACGTTCAGGAGGCAGAAGGGTGGGAATTGAGTGCTGCGAACTACGTGTTTGACAGCTGCTCTAGAGCCCAGACTACCCAAAGAGCTTCAGGATCAAACACCAAGCAGGCAAAGCAGCGCAGCCACTGTGTGCAAAGTTGGAGACTGTAAAAGAGCCGGGCCAGCGTGCTGCCACCGGACTGGACTGGCTTTTGAATTTTTATTGTAGTTGCAAATATGCTTCTGAAGAGGGACGTTGGAATTAGATTTTGGAAGCTGGAGGGCAGAGGAGAACCTGAGCCTCTATTCCGAGGGAGCAAGAAGAGTGGAGTGGGTGAGAGAGAGAGAGAGAGAGAGAGAGAGAGAGAGAGAGAGAGAGAGAGAGAGAGAGAGAGAGACTGCAGCAGCCTAAGGAGCAGGCAGCAAAGGGATGGGCTGGTGGGAGCTGGAACAGAGCGCGAGGAACCGCGGCCGCGCGAGGAGTAGGCGGCGAAGGCGTCCGTAGTGGCGGTGATGGGCGGAGGAGGAGGAAGAGGAGGAGGGAGTAGCGATGGCAGGAGCCGGCGGTGGGGGCGCGGAGGCACGATGCGCGCAGGCAGCGGCGGGCACGAGCCCCACGCCAGGAGAAGGAGGAGCCAGTCTGAGGAGGAGGGCTAATGAGGTTCCTGGGAATAGGGGACCCCCACCCCCACCCCAATTCTGTTCAAGCGACCGCCGCCCTCTGGGCACCTGGGGCAACGCAGCCGGGAAGGCGTGGGGCACCCCAGTGAGCCCCAGAGCGCCGCTGCCGGCGCCCACACCGCGCTGGAGGAGCAGCGCCCACGCCCCACCCGGAGCTGTTCTCCGGGGGCTGCGAGCTTCCTGGTGGGTGGGTTAGGGGGGCGCTGCTGGTGAGTGTGGGTGAGAAACTCTGAATGGTGCGTGTCGGTGAGGCCCTAGGTCCCGTGGACTATTCCCTGCCGCTCGTCCCCCGACATCATCTCTGGTCGGAGCGATGTGGTTGCCTGGAAGAGGTAACGATGTATGGCTCCCACTGGAGGGCGAAGGGGCTAATCACGCCTTTACTTAGTCATCAGCGCATCCACGCAGGACCAAGTTAAACGCACGTTATGTGGAATTACACAGCAGGAAGTTTCTTTGATTTCCTTAGCTTTCTGGATGTACCTCTCATTCCTCCGCACTCTGGCAATCAGAACCAATTTCCCCTCAAGCTAGGAGGGCTGGAGACTTGCCCGGAGCTGGTCAGTGAAGGCCCTGGACCGACCTTACACATCAGGAAACCTCCTGCCTACTCTCAGCAATGGCTTTTCCCTAGTCTCTTTGCCAGGCATTTTCTTTACCTGATGATCAAGACTCAATCTAAGAGCAATAAAAAGTTTACATTAGCCTGGAGCAAAGGGGACCCGCGGCCGCCTTTCCAGTGCCTTCTGCAGATGGTAGCAAGATGAAGCAGTTTGAGGCTTTCCCCCTTTAGGGCTTTTTCTTGGCAGAGACTTGTAATTCCAATCCTATCATACAGTTTGAGCATTCTGTATTTGATCTGTCTGCTTTTTCTTCCGTTTTATCTGGGGCAATTAAATCCAACCGAACAACTTGAATAAAAAAGAAAAGAAAAGAAAAGGGAAACAACGGGAAGAGAGCGAGCTAGAGCTAGTTGTGTTTTTTTTGTTGTTGTTGCTGTTGTTTTTTGTTTGTTTGTTTTTATTCTTTCTGCACCGCACACGAGACTGAATGTTATCTACATTCTACTCAAGCAATTCAGAGCTGGTATTTTTTTTTTTTCAAAGTTGTTATAAACGTGAGACACTATGAAAAGAAAAAGGGGAGCATTTAGTATGTCTGTTATTTTTATATTCAGAGTCAATACGAGCCAAATACTTCAGTTTTAGTAGTTGAGCACCAAAAATTCAGATTTTTTTTCCCTAGGTGGTTGGTTCAGTTTTCTTAACAGGCAGTGCTAATCTACAGGAAACATTAGTTTAGCTTTGAAGATTATGGGGGGGGACCTTTATAATGGAAATATTTCAGGCTGTTCATTTTAATGTATAAGCCACCACTCTGCCAATGAGCACTTAAGGTTATAACCTAAACAAACATCTGTTCTCATTTTGCTGGCTCTATGAAGAATGGAGCACCATGCAGCCTCCTCCTCCTCCGTCATTAATATTCCTTTCCTGACTTGCCCATTGCGGAGCCTAATTGAAATTCACAAAGATTAAAAGCATGCCATTTAAAACCTTGCAAGCAGGGAACCCAGAGTCTTCTACTTGATGAGAACATTCTACTTCACATTGCATCTTCCTGTTCTGCTCCCTTGTGTCGGTTTCTGTTAGGAACCCTCTGACTATGCCATGTAAATCACCACTAAACTGTCTATATTTTGACCAATGCAACCATATTTGCGATTGCTTCTACAAAACTCCCCTTTCGTGAACCTCATAATCTCTGTAAATATGCTCACATTCTATTCTGATGCTTTCTTAGCACTATTCTTTCTCTTGATTCTGATACAGAAGAAAATAGATTCAGATTCTAATTGCTTGCTTCCATTTTAAAACTTTTATGAATTTAAGTGATTTTTTTCTTTAAGAATGAGCTTTGTGTGTTAAACTTGTAATCTCACATGACTTATGATCTGCGGTTGAGAAACTTCATGAAGTTCTAGCAAGCTGTCTGGAATGATTTTTCCCTCACCACTTAGTTTCTTTGAAAGTGTAGAAACAGTTCAAAGAGTTAGATACACATTTACTGGACCTAGAGTAAAGCCAGATTTTTTTTTAAATCATAAAATTCTGATTTTTTTTTACATTCACCCCCTCCCCAGAAAGTGCTTTATGATTTCTATTGATGTTGGATATCTATGATTTAAACTTCAAAGAACATTAAAGGAATTGGGAATCAGAAAAGCTGACAGCTGAGAGCAGTCATCTGCCTCAAAGTCGCATTCAGAGAGATGTTTGCTGCAGTACTGGGATTACCTAATCTCTTCAAAGATCTGAATGCAGTCTCGTTTGCCTCTTAACTCTCTATGGTAGAGTGTGGGTTAACTGCCTGAACTTGGAGAGCCTGGGCTGGGTTTGGTGACTAAGCTTTTCCTACCTGGTTTCCTTAGAACATGTCCTGGAGAAGCTGACCCTGAAAAACTAATAGCTAATTGGTTACCAGTAAATCCGTTCCCGTCCGTGCTTGGCCAGTGCAGAAGCTCTTGTGTTGAACCCATTGGATTTACTCATCCAAATTGGATTTGAGAGAGAGGAACATTACATCTCCAGCATCCAAAGCCACAAAAAGTCCAAGAATAAAAGAAAGCAAAAAAAAAAAAAGGAACCCTTTTATTTCTGTTGCATTTTCCTTATATCTCACAATACTGTATAATTTTTATAAAAACTGTTGCTTTCTTTTTTTTACAGACCAAATGGGCACTGCTACTCCAAGACCTCTACATGTCTAGAGGTCATCACAACACTTGAAACTTTCTTAAAGAAAGCAAATAGGATACATGGTTATGAGTATATATACATATATATGTATATATATTACATTAATAATGTATAATATATTATATAATAATGTATAATAATGTTTAATATATAATACATAAATTATATATAATACATAATAATGTATAATATATATACATTAAGAATGAATTGTAGGAGCTTCTTTTTACAATATAGGGCAGCAGGTATAGAGACAACTCTACACCTTGTAGAGCATGATGCTGTGCTGTGCACAGCACTAAATAGGCCTGTGACATCACACCACTCCTCTCAAGTTTCAGGGACCAGCACAGAAGAGAGAATGGGAAGACAGTAAGAGCCAGAGGTAGTGGAAGTCTACAGCAAGGCAGAGCTCACTGGAGAGGACAAGGCCATTAAACACATGAACTCAAAATAGCTGTGTCTGCATGTATAAGGACCTGCACAAGAGCAAACCAGACAAAATGCCAGCAAATGTTCGTGAAGTCCCAGCCCTTGCTGAAAAACCACTGGCAATTGACAGCTGTCTGGGAGGGAGGGTACGTTTTCTTCAGGAATGAGGCCAAAAGACCACCCATACTCCAAAAGATTGTCCTACACCCAAGCACATAGAGACCAGCACTAGGTGGATTCAGTGAGTTATAAAAGTAAAAGTGCATATGAAATTGGGAGGGGAAATTAGTGGAAGAGATTGTGGAGGAATTGGAGGGTAGGGAAAGGGAAGTGGATTTGATCAAAATATTTTAAGCCTATGTATAAACCTCTCAAACAATTTTTCAAAATTTATCAAAAGAAAATACACAAATGTTAAAACAATATTTTGTAAAAAGTAATATTTAGGTAAAAAATTCCTAAACAAATAAAATGAACGAGAACATCTTAATAACATTTCTACAGATTGTAGTTGTCCATTTGATTTCTCATACTCTAAAATGATAACCCAGAGTTGCTTTATTAAGACTAGCATCTCACTGTAGGTAAA